CCCACCCTGACCCCATTAATCCCCTGAGCCCTCTTTTAATTAATTAATTAACCCACAGCCCCGCTGGGCTTTTTTTCTGGTTTTTCCAAATAAAAATTTACGCAAAAATCCCAAAAAAATCCCCTAACCCGATCTCCCTTCAAACCTTGGGACCCACAGCCCAGCCCCCATAAAAAAATCCCTTTTAGGGTCAGGGTTTTTTTGGGATTTTGGGCGTTTTTGGTGTTTTTATAATTTTTTTTTTTTCCCTGGACTTATTTATTTTTTGAGATTTTTCCGGTTCTGAGACACAGGGGCAGCTTTGTCCCCGTGGCTTTTGGGGCCCTGGCTCGGTGCCACCCCAAATAGGGTTTTTTGGGATGGGGGGATGGGAGAATTTGCCATCAAAGGACCCTAAATCACAGGTTTTTTTGGTCTCTTCTTCACTCCACACAGAGGAAAAAAAAAAGGAAATTTATAAGGTTTGAAGCTAGACAGAAATCATGAATTTCAGGCATTTAGGGGGAAAAAATCCCAAAATCTGGGGGGATACTAAAAAATTAAGGGGTGAAGCAACTTCCCCCCACTCAGAGTGACCCTGAGGGAAAAAATCCAGGAATTCCAGGGGAAATATCTGCTTTGGGAATGGGAGAGACCCCTAAAAAAACCAAAAAAATCCCAAAGAATCCCCCAAACCCATTCATTCAGTTCCCAATGTTTCACCCCAAAATCCCAGGATTTTGCCCCAGATTTCCAGCATTTCACCCCAAAATACCCTAAAGATAAAAAACACACAAAAAATACCTCCAAAATATTTTAAAAATATTAAAAAAATTCTAAAAAATAAAAAAATGCACAAAAAAAATTTAAACCCCAAAAATATAAAAATACACAAAATCACACTAATAATACAAAAAGTTACACAAAAATACCCAAAAAATGCTAAACAGTAACTGAAAATTGCACAGAAAATATCAAAAAATATTAAAGAAATACAAACCCCCCCCAAAAAGTAAAAATAATACACCAAAAATACCATAAAAACATACAGAAAATAACTTTTAAAAATCTAAAAAAAATACCAAAAAATGCAAAAAAAAACCCCAACAAACCAACACATTAAAAAATAAAAAATAAATCAAAATAAATCAAAATAACCCCCCAAAAAATCCCCGTCGGGGCCCTGAACTCCCCCCTCTTCTCCCTGAAAGGATCCCTTTGTACCTTTCCCAAAAAATTGCCTTTTCATCCCAAAAAAAGGGGAGGAGGGAATGGAGGAGGAGGAGGAAGAGGCCGCGTGTGGGGGGAAGGCTTTGACCTCATCCCAGAAAAATTCCCGGTTTTTTCCCCCATTTCGGGCCCCTTCCCACCTTTCCAGGGGGAAAAGGGACAAAGGGTCTCTGTGAGACAAAACCCTGAAAAATGGGGAGAAAAAGGGAATTTTTTGGATTTCACCCTCTGGGAAAAGGAGGGGAAAGGAAGACCCTAAATGGAAAAAAGGAATTTCAGGCCAGGATTTGGGGTTTCGATTTTTTTTAGGATTAAAAGTGGATTTTATGTCCCTACAATTAATTTTTTAGGGGGTAAATTTACCCCAAAATCTGGTTTTCTGTGGGGCTTGGGGTATTCAAAATTGCTTTTTTCACACGAATTCACCCCAAAATTGGGGATTATTGGGGTTTTGCCTCCCCAAAATTCGGGATCTTGGGGGTTTTGTATCCCCTAAAAAAAATCAATTTGAGGCTCAAAAAACGATATTATGTTTATTATTAGATATTAATTTTTAATAGGAAAATTTATGGCATAATCAAAAATATGGAGTGAAACAGCTGTGAAATTAGGTGGAAAAAGTAAAAATTGGGAGTTTTGGGGGAGACAAAGATCCTTTTTCTGCTCCCCAATTCCAAAAGAATCCCAGGAAATATTTGGGGCCAGATCTGAGTTTATTGTGAGGTGCCAGAGGGAAAAAAGTGGAATCTGGGGAGTTTTTGTGTTGAAAAAAAGCCCTTTTTGAAAGGAGAAATAAATTCCTGGCTTCCCCCCTCTGCTGTCCCCCCTGTGGTGAGGAATTCCCTCTCTGGCTTTCGAGATTTCATGGGATAGGGTGGTTTGAGAAAGTGGGAAAAATTGTGAGGGAAGGGAGGAAATGAGGGGAAAATGGGGGGGAAATGGGGGGAAAAAAGGGGGCAAATTTGGGGGGAAAATGGGGCAGGAGTGCGGGAAAAGGGAGTAATAATGCAATAAAAATTGGGGGAATGGGGCAAAATTAGGAGGAAAATGGGGGAAACTGGGTAAAAATGGGGCAGAAATAGGGGGAAAGTGGCACAGGAATGGAGAAAAAATTGGGGTAAAAGTGGGGCGAAATGGATTTAAAATTGGGCAAGGTTGGTATAAATATGGGGGGAAATGGGGCAGAAATGGAGCAGAAATGTGGGAAATGGGGGGGGGGAATGGGATTAAAATAGGGAAAGATGGGGGAAAAGTGAGGCAAAATTTGGGCAGAAATTGAGAAAAAATTGAGCCAAAATAAGACAAAAATTAGGCAAAATTGGAGTAAAAATAGGGTAAATTAGAGGTAGAAATGGGAGGACATGAGGGGAAAGGGGGAAAATGGTAAAAACTGGGTTCCCCCTCCGCTCCCAGAGCAGTTTTGAGCCTAAATTGGGGGATTTGGGCTGGGAAAATTTAGTCCCAAATCCATCGGGACCGGGCCGGGTGACGCTCGCGGGTGGTGGCGCCGGGGTGGGGACAACCAAGATCCTATGGGGACAATGGGGTGGTGCCACCCACTGGGCCGGTTCGATCCCAAACCACGCCCCCGCTCTGCTCCCCCCACTGTCCCGGTGTCCCCTCGCTGTCCCCGTCCCAGTCTGGGATCCGTCCCCTTTTGGGATGATTTGATATCAAGCTGGGATTGTTCGATCCCAAACTGTGATTTTTTGACCTCAAACTGGGATTGTTCAATCCCAATTCCACCGCTATGTCCCCCCCCATCCCGTTGTTCCCTCCCTGTCCCCTCCTGTCCCCGAGCTCTGGAGAGACCATCAGGGACCGGGGCCAAGGGACAAAGCCGGGGGTGCCTTACCTCTGTCACTTCTGTCACCAGTGCCACCAGTGCCACCTGCATGTCCCCACTCCGAGGGGAGCTGGGAGCGTCATCCCCACCCCGCGGCGGGGCTGTACTCACCCATTGTCCCCACCCCGGTTTTGTGGGAATTCTGGGGGGATTTGGGGGTGATGTGGGGGGATTTGAGCCGGCCCCGGCCAGGCTCTGTCGCCCAGGGGACAGCGGCGGAGCTCCCCCAGGAGCTGGGGAAGGGTCGGGCAGCACCTCCTTGGCCGTTTGATTTATTCCCGATTTTTCTGTTCCATAGGAAAGTGGCGGCTGGAGCCAAGGCCTGGCCCCGATCCCGGCCAGATCCGGCCACGCCGAGTGCTCTTCCACCTGCTGGGGGTGGAAACCTCGAAATCCCATAAATCGCCCTCAAAATTCCCCCCCAAACCCCTCAAAATCCGGCCCAAAAAAATCCCCCCAACCCCC